CACTTGTGAAAAACCTTGCCTAGAAAACTGCAGGGATGTGTCCGGGTAGTCTGTGAAAACTACACAATTGAACAAGGAAAAAAAAACATCCTTGAAACATCCACTGGCTAGAAATTCTGCCAGCTGAAATCTTAAAGGTTTGGCAATTACCCACAAAAAGGAAATTGCCGCTAAAGTGGAATTGTTCTGAAAGAGCCACTTTGGATCTATTTTGATAAAAAAAAATAAATGATTTTAAAAGATTTAATTTTAAATTTTAATTTTAAAAGAAATAAAAATAATAATTCCAGACTAGAGTTGATTTAAGGAGTGTCTTTATGACTTGTCCTGAGTAATACCGTCACATGATTTGGCTTTTTAAAGCTCTGTCTTTCAGTATTCTACACATAGCAGTGAATTTTTTATCCCTTTCTCAGTAATTGTACTTTTCATATCTGAACTGTTAAGTTTTCAGCTTCTAGTTTTCCCTTGCTGAGCAAGGAATGTGAGTAGCATCTTCTGTTTTTAAATCCTGTTGACCCTGGCATTTATTTTTTACTTCAGTTTTAGCAATCTCGATCTTTGAAATAGGATATTTATTTATTGCTTTTGACCAGGATTTTGTGTAATGTTGAAAGAATTCCTGTTCTTGAAAATATTAATTCACATACATACACACTCACAGATGGGTTGGGATTAAATATCCAGAATTCCTCCCCTTCAATCTGTCTGGGTCATCTAGATTGAGGCTATCATATCCTATTTAAATGTCACTGATTTTGTTCTTACCACAGCTCTCCTTTTTAACAAAATCTTATAGAAAATGTAATCCTGCTTTCTCCAACTTGATGTCTTCCACACATGTTGGATTTTAACTACCATAAGCCCCATAATATTGGCTGAGAATTATGGAAGAAGAAAAATCTAGCAGACATGGCAAGTACAGGATAGGAGAAGGCTGATTTAATTTTTTCTTTACGGTGTTTTTGGTAATGTCAGATGCTATAATCTCTACAAAATTGATGTATGCTGCATTCATTGCTTTAAGCAACAAAGGCAAATATTGTCACTCAAAGTGCTTCTCAGTTCAGTGATGATCTCATCTTTCTCAGAATGTATAGCATTCTGTTTTCTATTAGTTGTTCCTCTATTAAACCATTTGGCAGTTTTTGGATGACGCAGCTAAGAAAGAAAAAGCAGAAACAGTGAAGAGAATTTTAAAAATGCAAGATGAAGTTTGCAGGATTTATATAGAGATGGGAGTTGATGAAAAGTTGCTGTTTTCAGATCAGAACATATTAAGGCTTTCATAAAAGGAGTTTGTGATTACACATATACAAAAAAAATTCAGTCAGAGTTTAATTCTATCTCTGATAAAGTAGTGGGACTTGAAAAAATTAACTAGGAAAAGCTGTCACAACCTCAAGGAGTGGTGCAACTTGCCAGCATTTGATGTAAAAAAAAATATGAAGCAGTGGTTGTAAGAAGATGTAGTTAGACGTTTTGAAGATTCCTGGTTTGAAATGTCCCTATCTCTTTGCAGGTCGTAATGAACCTCTAAAAAAGGATCGTCCCAAATGGAAGAGTGATTATCCAATGACGGATGGGCAACTAAGAAGCAAACGGGATGAATTTTGGGATACAGCCCCTGCCTTTGAGGGACGCAAAGAGATTTGGGATGCACTCAAGGCTGCTGCCTATGCTGTGGAGGCAAATGATCATGGGCTAGCACAAGCCATTATTGATGGTGCTGGAGTTACCTTGCCTCATGGTATGTCCCTCAGTGCAGAGCAGAAATGGTGTGCTAACTTGTTAGAAATTGAAGGATGTTGCTCCTCAAATCAACTCTTTTTCATTCTACTAAAATAAAAAAACATGCATTTACAACCATAATAGGTGTATGGAACAAATCCATGTTCTGTGGTTATAGGAATAAGCAGGATTGGTTGTATCTTTGCTATAAGTTGTATAGTGAGAGGTCCACAGCTCCTGCTTTGCGGGGTGCCATAGAGTTCAGTGCTGTCTCCACATCTACCTGAAACCACTAGGTGAGATCATCCGCCATCACAGGATGAGGTATTGCCAGTATGCTGATGATAGCCAGTTAAATATCTCCATCCTGCAGTGGATATTCTTTTGTGATTCCTGGAGGCTGTGTGGGCCTAGATCAGGGGTAGGCAACCTTGGCTCTTTTATGACTCGTGGACTTCAACTCCCAGAATTCCTGCATGGCTCAGCTTGGAAACTCTCCCTTTCCCCTCAGCATGGCTGGCTCAGGAATTCTGAGAGTTTATTTATTTATTTATTTATTATTTTAATTTGTATACCGCCCTTCTCCCATAGGACTCAGGGCGGTTCACAGCATATTAAAAACAAATAGTAAACACAAAATACAAAAAATTACAAAATACAAAAATACAGAAAATAAACCCCGATAAAAGCCAAATTAAAACCAAATATTACAAGCTGTGTTTTGAATTAAATA